AGACAGGTCTGTCTCAAAGAGCTTTTGGTGTAACTATCCAGAAACTGTTTGGAGGTGGGGGTGGGACAATGGCTCACATAGAATAAAATTCAATGGCACCGCTTTGGGCCATGGAAGGTTTAAGAGGCCTATTAGACATCCAAGGTGTGAAGTGTAGGAGGTGGAGAGACACGTCTGGAATGTAAGGCAGACATTTGGGCTAGAGATAAAATACTGTGAATCATCAGCCTATAGGTAATATTTCAAAGCTATGGTGGTGCCGAATGAGATTTCCTAAGAAAAAAGTATAGGTGGAGAAGACTGTTCTCTACCATTTAGACATCTGACAGAAGAGAAATATTCAAGAACCGCAGAAGTGACCAATGAGGCATGTAGAAAATCACATGAGTCCAGGGTCATGGAAGCCTAGAGAAAAATGTTTCAAGAAGGGAGTCATCACCAGTGAAGTTATTGTAAATTCACATAAAATTTAGAGAACTGACCACCAGTTTTGGCACAAAAGTGGTCTTTCATTGAGCAGATGCGTATTGAGTACCAACTCCACACTAGGTACTGTTCAAGGGACTAGGGCTATACCTGTTTACAAAACAGGGGGAAATCCTTGTCCTCATGGGATCCACAATCTATGAGGGGGAAAAAGATAAATTATAGTATGCTAGCTGATTCTGAGTACTTAAAAGAAAACTAAATAAGCTGTGCTTAGTCGCTCAGCCATGTTCGACTCTTTGTGACCCCATAGACTGTAGCCCACCAGGCTCCTATGTACATGGGATTCCCCAGGCAAGAATAGTGGAGTGGGTGGCCATGGCCTCCTCCAGGGGCTCTTCCAAACCCAAGGATTGAACCCACATCTCCCACATTGTAGGCGGATTCATCATCTGAGCCACCATGGAAGCCCAAGAATACTAGAGTGAACAGTCTATCCTTTCCCCAGGGGAACTTCCCCACCTAGGAGTTGAATTGGGGTCTCCTGCATTGCTGGCGGATTCTTTACCAGCTTGAGCTACCAGGGAAGCCCAAGCAGGACTTTTTCAGTCTCAAAGAGTTGGGCACAACTTGGTGACTGACCAACAACAAAGAATAGCAGGAGAGAGAGCTCCAGGTGTGGAGGGCAGGGTTGCAATTTAAAATAAGAGTAATCAGGCTCTAGACCCGGAGCCTGTCCATTATTCCATTAATAATGAAGCTTTCCTTTGCTTCTGAACCCCGACTCGGTCTTGTTCAACTGATATGAAGGACACTGGGACGAAGGACCTTGCTGAAGCCCTACTTGAAGATTCAGCCTTAGCAAATGGAATCTTCCGTATAGTGTTGGGAGAACTAGTCCTCCTAGTCGTCCATTGCTGGCAGCTGGAGGAGGAGCACATACAAGGAAGACCTTCAGAAGACAGCCGGGGAGCTGCACATGGGAAGGGCACCCCAGGAAGAGGGTGCAGCAAGGACAGCGACTCTGAGGCTAGAGCTGGAAGGGATTAAAGAAGGAAGGAAAATTAAAGTAAAATAACAGTGCAGAGGTGACTTGTGAAACCTTGAATGAGCAGAGGGAATGAGCGATGCAGGTGGCTGGAGAAAGAGCATTTATAGAGGGAAGAACACGTGTCAAAATGCCTGGCAACTTTAAAGATTCAGAAGGAGGCCAGAGTGGCTGCCACAGAGTAAGTGAGGAAGAGGGTGACTGAATGGGGAAAGAGGGGAGTGGAGCCTTCATTGTGAGACAGGAAGCCCAGGTTTTGGGCTGAGGAGCACCTCACAGGTGTTCCCATATTGAACAGATGCTGTGGGGGCCAGGGAAGAGGTGGGGAGCAAAATCCAAAGTAAAGAGTAAAAGTTAGGAGGCAATTGCTATAATTTAGCAGCGGGTAAAGAATCTGCCTGCAATGCAGGAGACACAGGAGACACAGGTTCGATCCCTGTGTGGGGAAGATCCCCTGGAGAAAGAAATGGCAATGCACTACAGTATTCTTGCCTGGAAGATTCCGTGGACAGAGGAGCCTGGTGGGTTACAGTCCATAGGATCGCAAAGAGTTGGATGTAACTGAGAGACTATGCACACAGGTGAGGAATGCTGGGGCTTGGGACAGGAGGTATTAATAACTGAATGCAGTGAGAAGTGTAGAGACTGTTCTCAAAGTAAAGTTAATGGGATTTGCTGATTAGCTGGATGTAAGCCTGCAAATAAACTCAAGCAGGATGCCGCAATTATCTGCCTGAGTTACTGGAAGGATGGTTACCATTGAGCTGGGGAGACACCACGAAATTCTGGTTTGGAAACTGGGAGATCTACAGCTTAAAGGAAGAGGCTGGCCTTAGCGGAGGCACAGACAGTTCATCTCAAGTACATGTGGGCAGGGGGAAGCAAGTTCTCTCCTGGTAGTTTCTAATTTTTTTTCTTCCGGTGAAATAGCAATCAAGGTCATCAACCAAGAATGAATATGCAGCGAGGTGTTTCAGGTGTGAAAAGAGAAACAGTTGTCAAGGGGAGGAGGGGAATGAAGAGACAGACCACCATAATAAATTAAAATTCATGGGCAGCATTAAGGGCCCACTTGATCTCTGCACGGTTGCGTTTTCCTTCAGCCACATTAAGGCTCACAAGTATGGGTCTGGAGTCAGAAGAGAGCTGGAATGAACTGTGATTGATGGAGTGCAGAGTACAATGGAACAGGAGGAGGGGAAGGGCATTGAGTGTTCAAGGGATTCACTCCCTGCAATGCTGGGGTAAGAGCGGAAGTGAAAACAGTCACTGAGAGCTTCAGGGGAAATTGCGTCCCCAGGGGAGAGACAGGTTTCACCTAGAGCAAAACGAAGCTTTCGAAAGGACGAGTATTGGGGGGATTTCTTGCTCTTGGTAAATAAAGCTGTTTCAGTGGCTGTGGTGCAACTGGATTGGCGTGGGTGGGTCAAGGAGCCGGTGAGAAAATAGCTGACAGAAGAGTGGATAGCGCTTCCGAAAAGCTCTGCGGGAAAGGTGCTGTGCATGCGCTGAGTTGCTCAGTCGTGTCCCAACTCTTTGTGACCGACCCCATGGACTGCAGCCCACCAGGCTCCTTTGTCCTTAAGGATTCTCCAGGCAAGAATACTGCAGCAGGTAGCCTATCCCTTCTCCAGGGGATCTTCCTGACCCAGGAATCGAACTGGAGTCTCATGCATTGCAGGCGGATTCTTTACCAGCTGAGTTACCAGTGAGGTGCTGGAGTTAGCCAAATGATTGAAGGCAAAGTTTGTGTGTTTGAGATGAAAGGTATCACAGCACACTTTTATACCAATGAAAGAGGGCAAAAATTGACAATGCAAGGAAGAAAGGGAGTAAAATGTGGGGATCTTTGCAGCGGCAAAGCCCTGAGGTCAGCAGGTGCTGGGATCCAAGGCATAAGTGGAAGAACTGACCTTAGAATTCAGTAGAAGGAAAGTGGCAAAGAAAGCTGGAGGCAGGAAGGCTGGCAGAAAAGTGAAATGGGGAGATTAGTTAGTTCTGTGAATCTATTTATCTCTTAAAAGTCTGACGAGGTTATCATCTGAGAGGTGATGTGGGAAGGCTGGGTATTTGATGTCAGATAAGTAACACTGTGAGAAATAGTGACTAGAGAAAGTGAACCTATTAGGGATTTACAGGGCATCCCAGGTGGTTTAGCAATAAAAGTATCTGCCTGCAATGCAGGAGACAGGAGACAAGAGTTCGATCCCTGGAGTAGGAAATGGCAACCCACTCCAGTAGTCTTGCCTGGAAAATCTCACAGAAAGAGGAGTCTGACAGGCTACCGTCCATGGGGTTGCAAAAGAGTCGAATACAACTCAGAAACTAAACTACCACCAGGGAATTAGTCTGTTTGGCAGCAACAAGTGCCCACCTGAGAGGTGTGGTCAAAAATCTGAAGTCAGTCGACATACTTGTGCATTTCTTCCCACCAGGCCTTGCTGCTTGGGTAGAGGTGCCAAGAAAGTGGGTCTCAAAGACCGAGGGTTTTGACAGGTATGATGGAGGGGACAAAATACACGGGTTAGGATGTTTCCAATAATGTGGTGCAAATGCCACCATCTATGCTTCATGAGGAAGGGAGCAAGGATATGAAAGGAGTCATGGACAATGATAAATGGTAGGATCAAGGGACTGGAAGTCCAGATGAGGCTGAAGACGTGCTGGAGAGAAAGAACTGGGAAAAATGACCTCGAATGGGTGAAGGTGATCTTGGAGATGGTGTGTTATTTTCTCTCCCAATTAAAAGTATTAACCAAATAAAACCTTATGATCAAGATGATGTTGCTTTTGGCTACATTAAAAAAAGCATTTTCTGATTACATCTCTGGGTTGGTCATGGTTTATTTCATCAGGAGAGTTTGAGTTAATATCACTTGAACTTTACAACTAATATAACATGACTGCTCTATATCACAATATAGGGAAATCTGTACAGCATATAGAGGAAATCTATAAAGTGATCTGACATCAGCATTGAGTGGTACATCTGGTCTTAACTTTTCATGTAAATTTATGTTACCAATATTAAAATTAAAAAATGCTCATTCTGTAATTTAGTGGAAGTTTTTCCAATGGATTCTATTATCATCAACAACTTTAAAGAGTAATAGGAATTCTCTGGGAGTATATACAAAAAAAAGATTAATTCAAAGGGAAATATCTTTCCATTAAGGGATTTAGAAATAAACATAAAAAACATTCATGGGACCTTCTTGTGTAGTTCAGATTCCTCGCTTCCACTCTAGGGGGGAAAGGTTGATCCCTGATTGGTGAACTAGGACCCCATATGCAGGACAGTGCAGCCAAAAAAACCCAAAACACATTCATTATAAAATTTTTATTCCATTGCATTGTCATTTAAAATTATAAGAATGTAAGGAAATATCACCCAGTGTCAGAAAATCTGCAGTGTTTAGTGACAAATCAATAGTTTCATAGACATTTTCAATTCATTTTAAAAGTCATGCCATTTATGTAATAATTAAGATAAACTATCTCTCTATATAGTAAACCTCTACTTGACTTATACAAGTTCATTTTCTCCAGCGGGAAGCTGCGCAGGGTCCAGCCCTACTTGCTTCATTGATACGGCAATATCGAACAGATAGTCATAACACTCACACCTGTTAGAAAAAGAAAAAGCAAAAAGCATTAAAAGTGTTTATTCAGAGTTCTCTACTTCTAATAACCGTATTTTTCCTCTGCATCAAGTGAACCCTGTCCCTGGTAATTCCCTCCCCCCCTCAGTTATATGCAAAGGGTTTCTTATTTTTTCTCTAACATTATTTAAAAAAGGAATCATACCGTATCATGCCACCATACTATATACTTCTCAGGAAATAAGAGTTTAAAATATACTACTTACCTAAATTTAAATTTTTTATTATGTGCCATTTTGGTAAATAAATGTAGCAAATCATTCTAGCCCTCAACTGAGAGAACAAGAGCAGTTGCTCCTTCTTTATATCAAAGGGCACAGTGCCTTGCCAAATAACAGCTGATCTGAAAATTATTTAACAAAATAATATATAATACAAGTAAAATATCTAGAAATAATGATGATAAACTATCAAATTGGTTTAAATTCAGATTAAACCAATTTGACCAGTGACACCAAAGAAACCATACTTCTTTAAAGTGTGGTGTCTGGCCCTGATATTCTCTGGTTTACACTTACATGGTTTTAGCCTTCTCCCACGTCTCTCCCCAGACGTAGACTCCATGCCGTCTGACTAGCACTGCGCAGGAGTCTGGGTAATCATTCATTGCCACAGCCATGCGCTCTTTGAGGTCTTTCTCCTCAGGTGTATTCTCAATAATAGGTACTACTAACATATCATCATATCTGTAAGACAAAACATGCCGTTTGTTCTCCTTTTTAAAATATGTATGGATGTGAGAGTTGGACTATAAAGAAAGCTGAGCGCCAAAGAATTGATGGTTTTGAACTGTGGTGTTGGAGGAGACTCTTGGAGAGAAACTTGGACTGCAAGGAGATCCAACCAGTCCATCCTGAAGGAGATCAGTCCTGGGTGTTCATTGGAAGGACTGGTGTTGAAGCTGAAACTCCAATACTCTGGCCACCTGATGCGAAGAGCTGACTCATTGGAAAAGACCCTGATGCTGGGAAAGGTTGAGGGCAGGAGGAGAAGGGTACGACAGAGGATGAGATGGTTGGATGGCATCACCGATTCAATGGACATGGATTTGGGTAAACTCCAGGAGCTGGTGATGGACAGGGAGGCCTGGTGTGCTGTGGTTCATGGGGTTGCAAAGAATCGGACATGACTGAGCAACTGAACTGAACTGAACTGATTCATATATAAAACTCATAATTTTTTCAAATAATAAGTTAGACATTCTCTTTATATCAGACAAGCCACTCCAAATTATGAACAAGATGTTGCATGTTAGTCTGTGTATCCTGCATGAACAACTATATCAAAAGATGCCTTGGGAATCTGGCAGGCATTGTTCTAATCCTAAGTAGAAGTGGCAGAAATTTGTACAGGATACCAAAACCTAACAAATAAATTATCAAGATCATACAAGTATTTCCGTGAAGCATAGAGAATCATAATGTTTTGAACATAGGAAGGATTAACAACTGAACTGCTTAAAGCAGGAATTTCCCAACAGTACGAAATCATTTTATTCTACCTCTGCAGGACCCCCAAAGTGTCTTGGATAGGCAAATAAACAAATACATGTGTGGTTATATTCCTGGGATAGCAAAAACCTTTGGAGAGAACCATTAAGGGTATGATAACATTTTTAGGATGTTCTCAAATCTGTGATGTTAGAACTTATTTTTACCTTATTTTTAGTAAGTACATGTGATGAAATCAAAATATGCATTTTTTTGTTTTTTGTTTCTGTAATAATACTTAAGCAAATAATTTGTCACTGGTAAAGTTACAACTATTTCTGAGGTCATTTACAACCAATCAAAACTCAGACATATTTCCCTTTAAACATGAACTTCTCTTGCCTTGTTAATGTATCATCTGCTTTTTCACCCCCTCTGTAATGGCTAAATTTAACCAAAATAAGTTCTATCAATAAACTATCAGAAATTACTACTTTAGGGAAGGTACAGAATAAATAGCAGTCATGTAATAAAGAACTTGGCCAATCATTATCATTAACAGAATGAGGTTGCCCATTATTTCACTTAAGTAAAACAGAGGTAATTATAAAATATCCTTAAATGTGGAAGGAAAAATTGGTAGTCCCAAGTCTTTCCTAGTATTGGCCATGAAAACCACAAACTTATATTTTCCTCTCCCATACACCCAACAGTCAGAAATAGCTCCAGGTGCAAAATAATTCCACACTAAAAGAAGACGTGAAAGCTAATCCAGTCCGATCTACTCCTCTTACAGGAGCAGAACCAGGGGTAGTCCTCCAACCAAAGAGTGTTCTTTTCACCCTTCCATAGGCATTTGCCTTCAAAAGGGAGGACAGCTACATTTAACATGGTTACCTCCCCAATAAGATTAGACATTTGAAAGTTATCATTAAGATGCACTTAAAATTTTTTAAAAGTAGAGTAGAAAATGGAAAAGCTCCCTCCTTTTTCCTACTTCATCCAGCTTTTTTGCCCCTTCTTTTGACCGGATACTTAGGATTCTACCCAAAGCCCGATGAAGCGCCACTGCCCAGGAGCTGCGATAACGACTGTCACTGATCTCCCAGCCAGGCTCAAACAGAACTGCAAAAACATCTCAAAAACCTTTGTGCTCTTTAAGTTCTGAAACAGTCAACATAATGTATAAAAAGTATATACACTGTGATGCAAAACAAATTGCATCTTTGCATTCGCGTCATTCTTTTTTCCACAAATTCCAAAGGCTCTCTGCTGTGCTCTGCTCCTCTACCCACCGTTTCACATGTTCTTCTGACCTATTTTTATTTCTTCACCGAAGCAATCAAATGCCGATGAAATTGCTAACACACAAATGCCTCTCCTTCAAGACCCAGATGTGGAAAAGTCAGTATGCGGCTGTGCTTTTAGTATGTACACTTTCATAATTTAAATATTTAACTTCTGTAAGTAGGTGTTTCCCAGTGCTGAGGAATGCTTTAGGCACACAATAAATATTAACTAAAATCAAGTCAAATGAACTTCTCAGCACACTAGTTTAAACACGTACTGTCTATTACGTGCAGTAACAGTAACACACTGCCATAAGAACACTTGAGTGAAACTGGCACCCTTTTCCTCTCAACAAGAAAATGTGGATTCAGCCCCTTTAGGAAATTAAGAAAGGTGAAGGTCCAGGAACAAGAATGCCCAAACATTTAGATGAAATGCTGAGCCTGTCCCTGAGTCCCAGGAACATGTTTCTTCACGTCACTATATTCTAGATTGATGAATAATGGCTACATCTTTGTGGGCTGGTAGATTTAGCTAATTTTGTCTGAAGGGCCTCTGTTCTATATTATCTATGCCCATTTCCACACTGAAAATTATAAGCATATAGAGATCTAAATTAAAATAATTATAAAAATTTTTTCAAATGAAAATTTTGACAGAAATACTACATGAAATCCAAACGAAGGATAAACTCGAGTCAGAGCTGAAACTTTCTGAAGACAAAGTAAAGCTGAGGAGCGCTTATTCTCGGGTTGTTTCAACAGAGGAACATAGTCTTTCCATCTCTACAGAAATCTGAGCCCAGCCCTTTTCTTTTTACTCCAACAAACATTTCGTTATTCATGTTGGCAATTATTTACCAAGGCTGGGTTGGGAATGGGGAGAAGGAAGGGAGGCATCTGATTTGTGTCACTGAGAATAGATCTGGAAGTATAATATTAAGTGGGGTATTAACTAACACAGATCTATAACATCGCATTAAATACATATAAACATCAGGATCCCGTTTATCACAAGAACGAGAAATACTGTTGAAATTATTTAAGCAAAAAAAAGGGGGGGGGTTGGAAATACCTGTAATACCCTCCCGAGGTGCATTTCTTTATTCCTTTGATCATCTCTTGATGTGTAATTTTAAACTCCTTTCCTGGGAAGACAAGGGTGGCCATGACAGCAGCTTTAGAGTGGGTATGGATCACAGCACCTGCTCCTGGGGTGGGGGTGGGGGGAAGAATATAGTCACATGCTCAGTGAAAAGTCAATTACCCTTTTTAAAGAGTTTATATATATACCCACACACACATATTTATATATGGTTATGGACTTGTTTTTTTTCGGCCTTGAATAATAAGTTGGCAGTGGGTAGGAGAGGAGGAAGGGAGGTAGGAAAGAGAAATACTAATAGAAGAGTCAGAAAGCAAAAAGAAGAAACATTAAACTGTATCCAGCAAGTGGACAACACGCGCAATACTTTATACATGCTCAAAAACATTTTTTAGATGGTCTGAAGTACAGCTATTATAATAATGGAGATCATTATCATAATGCTATGACCACTCAATTAGGGATTCCTATGTCTCCTTTAAAGATGTTTTCTCTTTGTATCATCACAACAACCGCCTCTCCCATTTAACAGTCAAGGCTTTGAGGCTCAGAGATTGCTAAATAACTTGTCCATGGTTATTTAAATACACTGTCCAACTTCAGACAGTAGCTGAAAACTTGGATTTGAACCCAGGTCACTCTGACCCTTGATCAAGATAGGCTTTATAGTGTAGGCCACATCTTGGTGATATAAGGGATGATTGGGGTTTTAAGATATAGATGCAATGGGTTTACCTAAAAAAGAATTTGTATGCTATAAAACTCAGTAATGTCTATTTTTGCAACTGGAAGTTTATTTAGCTTTTTTGCTAGGAAAGATTCTTCAGGCTGGCAGAATGTGCTGCTGAAGTTTCATCCTGTCAATAGTAGCTGCTAATGTCTGGGAACAGACCATACATGATTATTCACTGTACACTGATTTCATCCAAGCTATACTAAAGCATGGTCTTTATGACTTCATTGTACTAAGTACTTAGTACTGACTAAGTCAGTACTTCAGTTATACTTTCTTACTTTTATATTGTCCTTTAGGTTCAACCTTTCTAGGTTAGTTTTCTACCACAATTTCTGGGAATTACTAATAAAATGAGTCATACTTTTGACATACAGTTAATTTTTCAAAAAAGAGAGAACCACTCCCACTGAAGTGAAGAAAAGACCATGATTTTCCCTCCTTTGTAGTTTGATTAATTTCTACCACAAGTTTGCAGAGGTATAACTCTAAACTAAGAGTAGGAATTGGATTGTATATATAATAGTTAGTTGGTTAATTTGACAATCTCGTGGAGTCATACTCATCTAGACTGGAATTCTGGCCCCAATACTCACTAGCTGTTTCTTTTGGGAAAGTCTTCCCAGGGCCTCTGTCCTCTCATGTATAAAATGAAGTACTAATGGACCTTCCAGAGGCTGATGTGAGGACTGAATCAATTAACACGTTTAGAATTCTTGCACATAGCAGGTATTTAAGAAATTTGAATTACAACAATAATTGCCATTATTTAGGGGGCAGTTCTATTGTTTAGTCACTAAGACATGTCTGACTCTTTTACAGTCCCATGGATTATAGCCTGCCAGGATTATAGTCCATGGGATTTTCCAGGGAAGAATACTGGAGTGGGTTGCCATTTCCCTCTCCGGGGATCTTTCCTACCCATGTATCTCCTGCATAAGCAGGAGGATTCTTTATCACTGAGCCAACCAGGGAAGCCCATTTAGGGGAGCCTACTCTGCAAATATTCTTTACATTGAGTACATTCTCTACCAACCTTTCATTGTGTAAGCATTCATGAAAAGAGGAGTACACTGGCTTTTTTTAAGATGCTTAGATGGCGGAGGTCCACTTATGTCCTTTTCATTGATGTCACAAACAAACATGTCTTCAGGCTATTTAGAGAAGGAAAAAGAAAAGAAAAAACTTCATAAAATATCAATGAGAAATATCTTCTTTCTTGTTTGTCAATAGTGTATATATACAGTGTTGATATATGTGTAACTCATTTTAAATATTTATATAATTAGTTTCTCCCTCAAAAATATGTAGCCATTTTGAAAAATAAAAAAATGTTTTCTACTAGCCAAAATAATCTCAAAAGAGTTAAAAAAAAACCCACCTTTAGAATTTGAAGAAAAAAATTGATATGGAAAATTTAATATGCAAGTATGAGGTTATCATTTCATTGATTTAATTTCTCAGTTTTGCCATGTAATTTCACAACTATATTTCAGAGAGACTTATATAATCACTATTTTAGGATGGGTATTATATATTTTTTCATATTTCATAATATAAGAGGAAAAATAGAGAATACAATTTTCTTATTCCTTGAGAATCTTACCTGGTACTCAGAAATGCTCATCTCTATGAGGTACATTATTTTTTAAGTTCTAAGGAATTATGTAGATCCACAGGTTTTTCCTAGTAATACATGCATTATTTCTGACTTGTAACTTTCATTTGCCAGGGTTTATTATAAACTACAATATAAATTATTTATTAATGAAGCATTATGCCTTAGAGAGAATTAAGTATTTGTACTTGTTTTAACTCTATTCTGGGCATTACTCTAGCGTTAATACAGAAGGGGTCCTCTCAAAATTTTGAAACAAAGTTTTATAATTTTGGAAGAGCTTTGCCATTATTAAATATGAGTCAATTTGGTCCATTTAGTCCAATCTGATTAACCTATTAGCCTGATAAAGATGGTGTTACAATGCTGCAGTTACAATCATTTTTTATTATGATTTAAGACTACACTATTCACTTTTGCCCTCTAGAGGCTGAAAGAAAATTTAGAACACCTGGTGACATGCAGGATCATTACCACCTCAAAAAAATTTAGTAGTTACTTAACAAATGTTTGTTGATTAGTTATTTAAATTATCACAATATAATTTCCCTTCAAAACTAACATTTCTTTTAATATTAATTCCATTTCATAAAACAACAATCAGGTAGAGAAGAGCAGACATTTAGGTTTAAGAAAGATCCCTTTACCATACCTGAATCCGTTCCTTTTGCACTCCTGAAGGAGCAATGTAGATTTCATTGCTGGTGGTACAAAATATAGAAATTGGTATTTATTTAACTCTATTGTTTTGCTTTTGCAAAAAGAAAAGTGTATCCTTGCAGTCCAATCGTTAATCATCTCTATAAATTAAGTCATGCAAATAGCAGCTTTATTCAATTAATGGAATAGGCTGTATAGAAAGAATAACAAGCTACTTTAATGTCTTTATAACGCTGGTGACACAGTAAAATGTTGATAGTTGCTTCTGTCTTCTACATTTTCATGTAAAGTTCTTTATTTCTTTTTATGGTGCAAATTAATAGTAACCAGGCTTTCATCTAGTTAGGATAAATACAAATCTGAAAACACAAGTCTTCAGCATCTTTAAACATCAATAAGCAGAGTTGATCTTGCTAGACATGGAACACAGTAATTCTAAAATCCAATCAGAGGAAAATATGCTCACTCAAAGTCTTGCAAGGAATCAGGTTTAATTTTGTTGTTTGAAATGCTCTTACTACAAAACATGAAGTTCAGAGACCTCTGCTGGATGGCTGGTTAAATTACAGCTTTAACCCTGGGCTACTTTTTTGGGTGGAACAGTATGCTTCCTAGGTGAAAAACACTTCTATCTTGTGAAAATACATGGTAACAAAGCTAAAACAACTGCAGAAAGTTGAAAATGTAAAAGGCATGGTTACATCTGGAGATCTCTGTTATACAGCACTTGTGCTAAGGGAGGATGCATTACCACAATTTGCTTTCAAATTTGATCTGGAAATTAATTTCAAAATCTTCTCTGAATTCTCTCCACCCTCAACAAAGATCCTCTGGCTCATGTATCAGTTTCAGTTGCTGCTACAGGGTGTTAATAAGGCAAACGAAGGAAATATCAGCACCTGCATGCTCCGGCTTCTGCCACTGAGGCATGGACTAGGGACACTAAATCAACATTAACTGTTTCTGAAGGAGACTCCTAGGGCTTCCCAGGTGGCACTAGTGGTAAAGAACCCACCTGCCAATGCAGGAGATGTATGAGACACGGGTTCAATCTCTGGGTAGGGAAGATCCCCTGGAGGAAGGCATGGCAACCCACTCCAGTATTCTTACCTAGAGAATCCCACGGACAGAGGAGCCTGGTGGGCTACAGCCCACAGGGTTGCAAAGGATCGGACAGGACTGAAGCAACTTGGCATGAACACACACAAGAGACTCACAGACTTAGAGAACGAACTTACAGTTGCCGGGGGGAAGGGTGGGGGAAGGGACAGTTAGGGAGTTTGGACATGTACATACTACTGTATTTGAAATGGATATAACCAACAAGAACCTACTGTATAGCACATGGAACTCTGCTCAGTGCTATGCGGCAGCCTGGATGGGAGGGGAGTTTGAAGGAGACAGGATACACGTGTATGTATGGATGAGTCTATCTGCTGTCCACCTGAAACTATTACAACATTGTTAATTGGCTATACTCCAATATAAAATAAAGAGTTAAAAAAATATCAGCTGTTTCCCATAGAAAATGAGCATGACTCACTATATTGCATCAAGCTGCCGAAGTTGGGGTTACAAATAAACCTATAGACCTGGAACTGACAAAATGTATGGAAGTTCCTTTAAGGTCTACTCATAAATAAGGTCTAGAAAATAAATGCCGGATAAGAAAGTGAAAGTGTTAGTCGCTCAGTCGTGTCCGACTCTTCGTGATCCCACGAAACTGTAGTCCACCAGGCTCCTCTGTCCATGTAATTTTCCAAACAAGAATATTGGAGTGGGTAGCCATTCCCTTCTCCAGGGGAATCTTCTCGACCCAGGGATCAAAACCAGGTCTTCAGCATTGCAAGCTAACTCTTTACCATCTGAGTCACCAGGGAAGCCCAAAATGTCTGATAAAGAGAGTGAAATCCAAACCACAGTAAGCTTTGCTCAAGCATTCATTTTCACAAAGTAGTTACTGCTTTATAATTTTGTTGCCTAAGAAAATCATAAGAGTGGCATTCCTCTAGAACAAGTGGCAATGCATAGGGATCATACTGTTAAAAATGACCCCTTATAAATACCAGAGATCTAAATCTTCTGTCCTCATGTAACATGAAGAACATGAAAGAGACTCTAGAATCATGTGTGGTACATAGTCCAATCACCTCTGCTGGTGGACTTGTAGGTCTTCTCATGCAGGAAAGTATTTATGCAGCCCCGGGAAGAGACCCAGATAAAGTTCACAACAGTCTGCTGTCAATAAGCCCTCAGAAGTGAAAGCATGGAATCCTAACCACTAGACCACCAGGGAATTCCCTGGTATGCTAAATCTGTTTTTATTACTACCTTTGTAAAAGAGACATCAGTTTAGAGTTTGGTCAATTTTGATTAAAAGATTAGCTAAATAGATTTTAGAAAAATATATATTTACACCTACAAGGAAGGAGATATCCGGATAAAAATACAAAGATGATAGAGCTTTTATTTTGGGAAGGACACATGCTAAAGACTAAAAGTAAAGTATTTCTTGGGACTGTAAGCCACAAATGGAAAGCATGTTGAGTTTCAAGGTATCACGTTTGGGAATTTATTTTCTCTACACTCCCTGCTCTTTCACTATGTGGTGAGCAGGGGGACAAAACGCAAGAGTTTATAATACATGTACATGTACTGCTTCTACTCTTATTTACTTAAAAAAATCCTTTAAATCTTACTATGCTGCAATTATCTTGTCTACAATATGGGTTTATTAATTTTAATTCTAGTAGCATACAACAGGATTAATGTTTCTGACACATAAAAACATTATGCTGTGAAAACAGGAAATGTGAAATGTGAAAGGTAGGAGCCCAACCTAAACACAGTGGCTGCTAAGTATCCTGGAATAGCCTTGACTATTGTTATTTTCTTGGTCCTCCATTTCTTCTGATTTAACACACATCTCTGTCTTAAGCTGTCTTTTCTTGTGTGGCACCACACATCAGGAGCATATAAACTGGACTGATAGCAGCCAAACCTTGGAAATGTAAGTAATTCCATTTTCTCCGAAGGGCTTATTGTCACACTTACTATGGAAACATAATCTATCGAGTTTGTGCTTCATTCCAAATATATCTGCTCTGAAGCATCAGAAAAAAACTTTCACTAATGTGAGAATATTAATATCATTGATAAAATTATTGATATGGGTCTACAAAGTCATTTAAATATTAGGGATAAAATTCAACATTTTACTACAAATTACCCATTTTACTCTATAAAGCATAAATTTAGTAAGATCCTAAATGCAGTGACATACCATCGTGGCTGTTTTCACCTGTGACCTCCAGGCGGCACTCCTCACCAATTAAGAATCTAAAACAAGCATTTTACAAATACAATGCAACTTCCCAACAAATTGACTGTAATGCTACAAAGTCAATTCATTTTAAAATGAGCCCCCTCAGTGCTTTAGCATAACCACACACAATTTTAGTGACTGGTTCTACATTTTAAATACATAGTCTTTTATATCTTTATGATAAAAAAAATTTCCTCTTGAGATCTGCAATGGCCCCTTGCTACATTCTATTTTTAATTTTGCTATTTTTTTTAAAGAGTCAATTGGAAAAAGTTATTTTAATTCAGTTTGGTAGGAATCTTTGTTTCTTACACATGTACGTGTGTGTGTGTGTGTGTGTGTGTGTGTGTGTATGTGTTTAGTTGTGTCTGACTCTTTGTGACCCCATGGACTGTAGCCCACCAGGCTCCTCTGTCCATGGAATTTTCCAGGCAAGAATACTGGAGTGTGTTGCCATTTCCTATTAGTGGGGATCTTCCTGACCCAGGGATCTAACCCGTATCTACTGTGTCTCCTGAATTGGCAGGTGGATTTTTTTTTAACCACTGCACTGCCTGTGTATGTGTGTGCACGCTCAGTCACGTCCAACTCTTTGTGGGCCCACGGACTGTAGCCTGCCAGGCTCCTCTGTCCATGGAATTTGTGGACTGCAGTCTGCTAGGCTCTTCTGTCTATGGAATTTTCAGGCAAGAAATACTGGAGTGGGTTGTCATTTCCTACTCCAGGGGATCCTCTCGACCCAGGGATCGAACCTGAGTCTCATGCATTGGCAAGTGGATTCTTCACCACTGTGCTATCTGGGAAGCCCTTATTTGTACATGTACAAACTAGCATTTTTGTTAATGCAATTAAAAAGAAGGTTACTAAAAGCAAGGTTTAGAATATGATTTATTATAAATAATACAGCTCAAAAACAAAATTACTAGTACTCAACTCCTAAATGAAAAAATGAAACAACTATAGTAACAGTAAGTGTTGTTATAGGACTTTGTTGTGAACAGGTCAACTTGAAAGTTTTGGCAAAATACTCTGAAAACCTGTGAAATACTGATTGACACATTAGCACTGGGTTGATGGTAAGCGGACCCATGTAATGGAGGTACCACGTACTACGTGGAACAGGACCTTTGCAGACCAAGAGCCTCCCTACACATGAACTCTAACAGCTGTTGAGTAAGGCCTCTCCTGCCGTTTCCTACAGTTTTAATTATATTTCTTGAGTTTCTTGGTAATTTGAAGCACAAGAAGTTTCAGTGGCATCATCTTGTGGTATGCCACAAAGTCCCTTTTGTCCAAAATGTTCTGATTATGGAAACTCTCCTGGTGGTTCAGTGATTAAGAAGCCATGCTTCCAATGCAAGGGGCGAGAGTTCAATTCCTAGTTGGGGAACTAAGATACTGCACGTTGCGAGGCAAAAAAAAAAAAAAAAAATCTTTACTGATTACATTTTACATTCCATTCTTTTCTAAACAATGCAGCCTCCTTGGAGGTGTTACTCTATACATTCAATATCACATAAATATTGTAGTAGTCCAATTTTGTTAAAGAAAGTGAATTAGGATAAAGAAATAAATCAAGTTACTCAATTTAATATTCAGCCTCCAGACAATTAGTATTCCTAAAACATTTCAAGAGGAAAAATATTAATCCTGTTCCAGAAACACTTAAGGGAATGAGATTCTACAACCTTTGTTTTCATTGTAAGTAGGTTACTTATTTTTTCATCCTCTTAAAGGAATGACACTGAATAAATCTAATGAACAATTAAATACTATTTATTCCTTCTACTTCAAGTTAAATACCTTTTGTTTTGTCCTGTGAGCAACATGAACCTGCAGGTATTAAGTCCATTAATAAGGATACTTGTAGTTAGAAAGGCATATTGCCTTTTTTTACTCAAAATAGGATTTTTGGATGGTTACAATCTGTATCTAAGTGACTCTGAAATATGTATCTGAACCTTTGAAACAAATCCTGTCTACCCAGAGGGGATCCTTTATAGTTCCAGACATGAACATATCCAGCAGCACGTTAGTTAACTTTGGTACTCCAAAGACTGAGGACCAAAGTATTTGGATTACCAATTGTGATTCTTAAGTCCACAGGTATTTACTATATATGCAACATCTAGAGCACATTTACTCCATTTGGTAGTGCAAATACCTATTTCTCTATTTAGAAACTAAATACCTTGAGTGCCATAAGAAACTGATCATCAGCTGTTCTTTGACATAATACACGTTAGGCTCTTGGTGGTCTACTTACATGGAGAATCAGCCGGGAACTTACCCATGCTTCAAGCTAATTCCTCCTCCGGTCCCAGTGACCCAACCCAAATGGTAGAACTGCTTGCAAAGCTCTGGGATCAGGTATCTTGGATGTTCCTTGTCCTTAAAAAGAAGATAATGATTTCTAAATAGACATTATTTTATCAAGTAACTATTACAATAAGTTACTTGATATCTTACTATAACATATATAACATATAATTACATACTTACTATAATATGTACTATATAGTATATACTTACTATAATATATAGTAGATATCTCTAGTAAAAAACCAATTTAAGGAAGTTTAAGAAAATCTACCATAGAGAGGGTACCATGAGAGAGAAAATTATTACAAAATATACTTATTTTTAATGTTTGGAAAGTGGATCTACCATATTGTTTGGCAACCTAGAATCATTCAGTTAAGGGCCACACAGTCCAGTACTAAGGAACAAGTTATAACAATGAGGTGGGGAAATGCCAGATTATATTACAAAGGGTCTTACTGGAATGGTTGAAATAAAATAGAATCTAGTGATGAAAGAGGCACACTTCAGTCTACCCAGAAGATTTCTTTAAACAAAACATCTTCTTCCAAACACCTCATTAAGGCATGATGTACATGATATGTACTATGATAGTTATTTGTTCATCTTCTCTGTGTTGGTTCAATTTTATTTGTTTTTCTAAAAAAATGTCCTTTTCCCATAGTAATTATACTGTTTTCTATTATTACAAAATCAATGTATACTCATTACGGAATATAAGTCAAGAAAATGACATAAAAAGCACTCAGAAGCAATCATAATTAATATTTTCTAGGCCCCATTCTATGAAGATATATGTTGGGATAACATCTTACTGTTTAAGATGTTATATAAGTAATATATGAGATGTAATTGACATATAACATTATGTTTCAGATGTACAACATGATGATTCCACATTTACATAGATGGTGAAATAATCTGTACAATAAATCTAACTGAAATAAAAGCCCCACTTTTATATATGTCTGGTGATTATTTGTTTAGAAACAGAAAATAAAGCATTTCTTCCTCTTTGGTAAAGCTAAAATGAATGAAAACAAAAACAATAATAAAGAAATACCATGAATTCCGTTTTGGAAGTAATGATTTACAACCCTTACCTTGAAAACAACTAAAACAGCTGAATAAATTATTTTGAATAATATTTCAAAATACACTGCTTAGCTGGCTGGAGAATAAAGTTTCACAAGGCCATTAAAGAAATGAGTGAGTCTACCTGGGAGGGAAGTAGGCTCTTAAACTTCCTTGAAGGCATTTGCAAAATTCTGGTGACCTAGTGCTTCAATTTTGATAGCTACGAAAGTCACTAGAAGCACAAGATAAAACTTAAGGTGTGCTCCAAGTGGGGCATTCAACAGAAAATTCCTATATACACATGGGACCCCAAGGGACTATACTCTCCAGATTAAAGTGAACAAGAAATAGACGCACTGTGCAACAAATCACAGTCAGAAAACCTGCCTATAGACATCTCAGCACTGGGTAAAGGGGAAAAAATATCTGAGTCCAAAAAGGAGTTATTATTGAACCGACATTTTCAGCTTCTTATATGAGTATCCGAAATTATGGTATTTTCCCATATTCACTGTTTAATATTATACATACATATTTTAGATAAGTATTGCTAATGATAATTTGATGGAGCAGACTTAAGAATATAAAATCAAGGATATGGGAAAGTTGACATTTTTTAAAGTTCTGATTCAGCACAGGCTTCGGGGTTAATCGCTTACAGGACCTCAGGCCTCGGTTTTGTCGCTGTTGTTGTTTAGTTGCTCAGTCGTGTCTGGCTCTTCTGTGACCCTGTGCACTGTAGCCTTCTAGGCTCCCCTGTCCATGGGATTCTCCAGGCAAGAATACTGGAGTAGGTTGCCATTTCCTTCTCCAGGGGATCGTCCCTACCCAGAGATCAAAACAGCATCTTCTGCATTGACAGATGGATTCTTTACCACTGAGCCACCAGGGAAGCCCAGGCCTCAGTTTACTCATCCACTAAATGAGAACGTGTTGAGGATTAAAATGACATATAATGGATATATCCAATCCCAAAGAAAGACAATGCCAAGGAATGTGCAAACCACCACACAACTGCACTCATCTCACATGCTAGCAAAGTAGTGCTCAAAATTCTCCAAACCAGGTTTCAACAGTATGTGAACCGTGAATTTCCAGATGTTCCAGCTGAATTTAGAAAAGGCAGAGGAACCAGTGATCAAATTGCCAACATCCGTTGGATCATCAAAAAAAAAAAGCAAGAGAGTTCCAGAAAAACATCTACTTCTGCTTTATTGACTATGCCAAAGCCTTTGACTGCATAGATCACAACAAACTATGGCAAATTCTTAAAGAGATGGGAATACCAGACCCCCTGACCTGCCTCTTGAGAAATCTGTATGCAGGTCAAGAAGCAACAGTTAGAACTGGACATGGAACAGACTGGTTCCGAATTGGGAAAGGAATACGTCAAGGCTGTATACTGTCATCCTGCTTATTTAACTTATATGCAGAGTACATAATGCAAAATGTCAGGCTGGGTGAAGCACAAGCTGGAATCAAGATTACTGGGAGAATTATCAATAACCTCAGATATGCAGATGACACCACCCTTATGGCAGAAAGCGAGGAGGAACTAAAAGCCTCTTGATGAAAGTGAAAGAGAAGAGTGAGAAAGTTGGCTTAAAACTCAACATTCAGAGAACTCAGATCACGGCACCCGGTCCCATCCCTTCATGGCCAACAGATGGGGACACAGTGGGAACAGTGGAGGACTTTACTTCTTGGGCTCCACAATCACTGCAGATGGTGGCTGCAGCCGTGAAATTAACAGACGCTTGCTCCTTGGAAGGAAAGCTGACAAACCTAGACAGCGTATTAAAAAGCAGAGACATTACTTTGCCAACAAATGTACATCTGGTCAAAACGGAGAGTCAATTCCTAGGCAGATTGACATGAAGTCCACGGGTCCCTGAGGAGAGAGGGGTCTGGAATTCTCAAAGAGGAGGAAAGGACAAACTTTGGCTGGTTTATTTTTTCCTGTACCAGGGATTATATAACCACAATGTATCCTGCTTGAGGACAGTTTCTCCTTCCTGAAAACCTTCTGGCTAATACTGTTATTTTAAAATGTAAATTATGGGAGTGGGTCTAGTAAGATCTTTACAACCTTGAGACATTCTTTTGATTTATTGTAATGACTCATTAAAGTATATAACTCCCTTGCTAACACTAGCGAGGGGGGCACTCTCCATCCCCCTTCTAATGTCTGTGTCAGAAGCTTTCTCTGTCCCTTTTTATACTTTAATAAAACTCTGCTACACAAAAGCTCTTGAGTGATCAAGCCTGGTCCCTGGTCCCGAAGCTAAATCTTCTTTGGAGATCACGAATCCAACATCGTTCACCATAAGCTATCAAAGCTATGGTTTTTCCAGTAGTCATGTCTGGATGTGAGAGTTGGACTATAAAGAAAGCTGAGCACCGAAGAATTAATGCTTTTGAACTGTGGTGTTGGAGAAGACTCTTGAGAGTCTCTTGGACTGCAAGGAGATCCAACCAGTCCATCCTAAAGGAGATCAGTCATGAATATTCATTGGAAAGATTGATGCTGAAGCTGGAACTCCAGTACTTTGGCCACCTGATGTGAAAAACTGACTCACTGGCAAAGACCCTGATGCTGGGAAAGATTGAAGGCGTGATGAGAAGGGGCTGACAGAGGATGAGATGGATGTCATCACCGACTCAATGGACATGTGTTTGAGCAAGCTCCGGGAGTTGGTGATGGACAGGGAGGCCTGGCATGCTGCAGCCCATGAGGTCACAAAGAGTCGGACACGACTGAGCAACTGAACTGAACTGATAATGGACATAAGGCAGGCAGCACAATGTGTGTCTCAATGTTAATTTCCTTTCCATTTTAATAAATTAAAAATTTCTGAATTAAAGTGAATAATAAAGCTTTGTTGGTTTTTCTAATTTTTTCCTTTTTAAATCTAGTCAAAATTACTGATGCCTTATATAACTTGCTATTTCCTTTTTTTGGGAATATAAGTGATATTTTAATTACATACTAAAATGCAGTCAATGAGAAGTCTCCTGCAGTTTTCAATCCTTAAAACCATGAATTTGGACAGCAAGTTGCAAGCATTATAGGAAATAGCCTGTTATTAAGGGCCTCTTGTTTCTCTTTTGTCTTTCCAGTACTGAGGTATTAGAATCATTAGCCAGTTTCCTGTTACAGGAGTAACAATGATAAGGCAGCTGTTGTTAGTAAAGTTTCATTCAAACCCACAAAATTACAATTTCAAAAAAAAAATCACTTCGCAGCAGGAACCAAGAGAGGTATATTTACTAAAAATGCAGTCATTTAAGTTGCCCAGAATGGTGAGAAAAGTAAAAATCAGAATACCTACTTTATAAGAATCGATAAGAAAAATTTAGTTAGTATTTAGCTTTCCCCTGAATGTCAATAGTATTCAGTTCAGTTCAGTCGCTCAGTCGTCCGACTTTCTGTGATCCCATGAACTGCGGCACACCAGGCCTCCCTGTCCATCACCAACTCCCAGAGTCCACCCAAACGCATGTCCATCGAGTCAGTGATGCCATCCAGGCATCTCATCTTCTGTCGTCTGCCGGGAGCCAACACACAAGACCGTACCCATGACAAGGACACGAGGGAGAAAACCTGACAGGCAAGGCGGATCAGGTTTTCAGGGGTTTCGAAAAGGCCAGCTCACGAGATCCCACCCATGACAAGGTCACGAGAAGAAAGCCTGACAGGCAAGGCAGATAAGGTGTTCAGGGATTTCGAAAAGCTGCCCCCGGTGCTCACTTTAAAGATGATATCTGTCTTTCTGATGCTTACTTCAATAGATGACTCCCTAATTTCTGTGACACAGGCAGAAGGCCTTCCCAGATCTCTTTCCAAATAAGAATCAATTTAGAACTTTAATCAATAAGTTTCCCGGGTGCTGGTATTTTATGAGATTATCCAGGGTGGAAGGAGTGTTTTAATTTAAACTCCTTTGCTGGTATTTTAGTTTGTTTGGCAAATGCATTTATGCCCTTGGTAC